ATTCTGGATTTTATCAGCACCTTTCTAACACATTTAATGGTTTAGGTTAATTGGTTCTGTTATAGCTCAGGCTGTGGTTAGGATCATTGCCCTGCTGGAACATGAAGCTGCTCTGTAATCTCAAGTTTTACAGATTTCCATTTCCTCCAGCTGTAGGAGAAAATAGTTTGGCAAGTGACTGTGGATGTATTTAAACAGTGCTGATATTTGTGGGAGGTTAGTTTGAAGATAGTTACTTTATTGTAGGGTTGTAGTTAAATCTCCTGGCTGTATTGAATCGTATTGCGTGTGTGCGCTGCAGGTGATAGTCGGCCATGGAGAGCCTGCACCTCGTCTTTGCAACAAGGACCCATTTGCGTTGAAGTCCCTGTCTTATTTGGCACGCATCTTCCCCAAAGCCAAGTTTGTCCTCATGCTGAGAGACGGACGGGCAACCGTCCACTCCATGATATCTCGTAAGGTAAGCTTGTTTTCTTCCTTGTTTATTTTCACTGGGGCTGGAAAACTTCTTGTATGGCTTCTATTTTGCAGGCTCATATTTCCAAGCTGGCACATCACAAATTTGTGCTGATGCTGCGCTCTCTGTGGGGATGTTAGTGGTTAGAGGGGGAGAGTGAAACAACGTTAGCCATGTTTTCTCACAGCAAAGCAGAATCTTTAGTGAAAGGTTTTTTTACTTTATGTTTTTTATTATTGACTGCTTGTCTCAGGTGACCATCTCGGGGTTCGACCTGAGCAGCTACAGAGACTGTCTGACCAAGTGGAGCAGCGCAGTGGAGGCCATGTTCAGCCAGTGCCAGGCAGTGGGGGAAGCGCGATGTTTACCTGTCCGATACGAGCAGCTGGTTCTCCACCCCGAGCAGGAAATGAGGAACTTGCTTAATTTCCTGGAGCTGCAGTGGGACGCCTCGGTGCTGCACCACGAAGAGCTGATTGGGAAGGCTGGTGGCGTTTCGCTGTCCAGGTGAGTGTTTGACACGTTAATGCAACAAACTCTGACATGTCTCATCATGCAAGTATGTTCTGTTTGACCATGAATATTTCACTTAGAACCATATTCTCTCGTGAATTAAATAGTCTTGAAATGTAGTTTTGCATAAAAAGTGCTTCACTTCTGGTGTGGGCACGCAAGCAAAAGTTTCAGAGGCAGATATCTCCAAACCTCAACCTAAAATAAGTTTTAAAAAACAGCCCAGAAGCTGTTTGCACATCATTGATGAGCTTCTTGTGAGAAGTTGTGTGTAGACGCGTGAAATGGCCTTAAAAGTCTTAAACTTGTGGAGAAAAATCTAAAAATAGGAGTTGCTAATTAGTGACTCTGTAAGTCTCGGACGTGTCTAAAAGAACAAGGGTAGCCACATTTTAAAGACAACAGGTCTTTCATTTTCTGTAACAAGGAAAGTCAAGATAAATAACCGGCTGTGGGACTGAGTGGGAGAAACAGGATTGTTTATACTCACATTTTCATGGAGTACTTTTCCCGCAGTGTACAAATTTTAAAGTACCAAATTAGAATAAGGCAGCTGTTTCCTCTTCTTCATGCAGCTGTGGGACATTTCTGCTTTCTGGGATTAACTATTTCAACCTGGTTTAATATATATATTTTTTCCAGCTTTTTAAATCTTTTGTCATTTTACATTTCAAAATAAATCATTCAAAGCTCCTGAACTGAATGTGATTTTTACTACGGCTATTTTTACATGGACCCACATTACACATTTATCTTGACTTTAATTTTTATTTTTGAGAAAGCATAGAAACTCATATTTTCTTTATGATTTAAATTCCCACACGTGTCAGTCTAAGCAGTTCATTGGAATCTCCTCAGACTAACTGGACTTTGCTGGGGGGGGGGGGTATTATTATTGTAAGAAGCTGAAATACATTTCACTTTCACAAGAAACACAAGATTGAAATAAGTGCATCTCATTTAATAAATTATAAACTTAAATACAATAAATTATTCATTTTTTAAGAGCTAAAACTTAGGTTTATGTGACCAATATTATCAAATTTCACTACAAGTAGCCATCTTTTGTTGTGTAACAGTGCTTTAAGTGCTACTTACTTAAAAAAAAATAAAGGTTTATATATTAAAAAGTTTTTAAAAAGCACTTCTGATCTTAGGTTTTATTATCAGATGTGTGTGAAGAAGTCAGAACATAACTCAGTAACTTCCTTTACTTTTAGTTTCTGTTATAAACTGTTTTCCATGTAACCTCATCGGTCTCCCACATTTTGTGGAAGTGTCTCCACATGTCTGCAACAAAGCTCCTGTCTCTTTGAGGTTTGCAGTCATTTGTTTATGCAAAGCTATTAGGATCACACACCACCATATTTTAATCAGATTGAGCTTTTTCTCTGTAATACCTCAGTTCTTTCCTGTTTCAGCTTATCTTTTGTGGCTTTGTTTGGAATTACGATTCCATGTGTCATAACCCAGTTTGGACCAAGCTTAGCTTTGCCACAAAAAAATGATCCTTTCTTTTGCATCTTTGGTTTGATAAATCACAGTAATAACACATTACATGCATCACTGATGCAGGTTGTGTCAGCTGCTATCTATTTGTAGAGTGATTGATTTTGGTGGAGAATGATGACCCATCAGTAACTAATAACCACTGAGGTTTCATGCTTAGGCATTATGTTACAATATTTAGGTTGTAAAAAATGTTCAAACATATATTTATGTGGGTTTGGTTTTAGAGAATTGCTTTGAATTAAAATGCAGCTGAGGTTGGGAGGGAGATTTGTATCCGACTTGAGCCGCCGTGTTGCCAGAGTTTTCTTCTAAAGCAGCCTAACCTCTCGGGGTCAAGCGCAGCTTGGCGACCTCCCCCAGCAGACTTGATTTGTGCTGCTTTGTTCACTTGTTGTTATTCAAGCGGAGCATCTTTCTGCTGGGCAGCCGTTCAGGGGATTTGGTGGGAATCTGGCTGCCGTACCATGCTAAGCCCAAATCTGTTATTTAAAGGACTTAGGCTGCATTCAGGGGGAATTAGCTCTCTTATTTTTCTTTACTTATGCAACATTTACTCACACAGATGTTTCATAATCTTTCACAAAGATGTTACAAAATAAACCTGTTTTTTGCTCTTATTTTTGACGTGTGCATCAATTTAGATGCACACATTACATTGAAATTACTTGGAAAGTGAAATTCCATGTTGTTTATGGGTTTTATTAGTTACATTTTTTTATTCCTTCTCACCTTTCTTTTTTGTTCTTTAACACGTGTCCATTTTTTTAGCTAACTATTGATTTTTTTTCTATTACTTCCTGTTTGATTTGAGTTACTACTTTGACTTTACAAATCTTTAAAAAATAAATTTTGCAGATGTTGTTAAAAAGCGTGTCCAGTTTTTTTCTCTTTATCTGGTTTATTTTACCTTTCAGGTCAGCTCACCTGATGGGCAAACACAACCTCACCTGAGTGTGTGAACAAAGCTGTTCTCTTTTTTTCTTTTTTTTGTTCATCTAACACGTGTAGTTTTATTTGGCCAACTATTGATTTTTACTCTTGAAAGGGTTTACCATTTTTTCTTTTACGTCCTGTTTGGTTTGAACTTTTTTATGTTTGGAGACGCTGTTAAAAAGTGTGTTCAGTTTTTCTCTCCTCATCTGGTTAGTTTCACCAAGCTGATGGCCAAGTGTGTGTGTGTGTGTGTGTGTGTGTGTGTGTGTGTGTGTGTGTGTGTGTGAGGACAGGGTTGAACGCTCCACAGACCAGGTGGTGAAGCCAGTGAACACTGAGGCCCTCTCTAAGTGGGTGGGAAACATTCCCAGCAATGTGATCGATGACATGGCCGAAATCGCCCCGATGCTCGCTCGCCTGGGCTACAATCCGCACGCCAACCCCCCTGATTACACAAAAGCGGATCCCATCACGTCTCCTTTTAACCACTTACAGGTAAGGGACGGGAGCATTTTGTTTTTATTTTTAAATGTTATTTTCTTTCCATAAATGATTTTAACTCTAAAATTTCTTTAATAGCCATGACTTCAAAGGATTGTTGGTTTGTTTCTTTTTAAAAGTAGACTTTTCTTCTATTTGTGTTATTTATTTATACTAATATATGTGTTTCTTGGTGATTCTTTTGAAACGTTACAATTTGACTTGTTACAGTAAAGTAATAAATCAATTTATCGCAAGGTAAATTAAAATTAGCTCAATAATTTCCATTTGGATGATTATGAAACATCATTTTATTTGTTGTTTCTGTTTTGTTGATTTATTTTGGACATGTAAAATGTCTCCAGTGTTAAATATTCATTAGAGTTTAAAGTTTATTGATCTTTGAATCTTTAATGATTATACCATTGCCAGTATATTACTTGAAAGTGGTCTCAATATTATTGTTTATTGCAATAAATTCTAGGACAATTTATAGAGCTAATGTTGAGTTTAGATCTTTTACCTTTACTGTCATATTATTTGGAAAATGAACAGTCTTCTTTGGTCAAAACCAGCTTTGAGGACAATCTTCTCTAAAATGAATTGAATTTCTGCTGTTGAAGAAGCAGCATGACTCTGACAGCCGCATGTTTTCTTGTCTTTTTCTGTACATTTCTTTTCACGTGAGTGAGAAATGTTTCTGTTCTTCCCTCAGAGAGAGAAAACGGCAGCAGACCCTCCTCATCCCAGTTAAAGATGGCGGCTCTCTGCCGCCTTACGGACACACCTTGAACAGACTTTTATTGCAGCCGTTATCTCGCCTCACAGGGAGGACTGCAGCGTTGCGATTACATTACATTCTTCTTGAGACTCGTTTACAGTTTCCAAGCTTGAAGACTGGTATTGGATTAATTTGCGTTTTAAATGTCAACTCTTCACAGTGAACTGTTTTCCACAGATTCTTGACACATCCCATCACCTCCTACCCGACAGTGTTTCAACTTTTCTCCCAAGTTCATCGCAATGTGAATGTGTATTAAGACCAATAAACTCACTACGAGCTCAGTCAGTGGTTGTCAAGCATAATGACTGTATATATTTTTCAAAATGTACTTTTATTTTCTTAATAAATTATTTTGGTTGAATGTTCATCAGGCATTTTTTGATGGTTTATTACAAGACAAACATCTTTGTACACAGCATCATACTATTTTTTTCTGTCCATAGCGCCCTCTTGTGGTGCTTTAACAACACAGCACCTTTGACTTCCAGATAAAGAAAAATGAGTGGCAGAAAGCTCAACAGAAATTACTTCTTTGTGCTGTTACGTTTCACCGTGAGCCACTTAGACCTGCACAGGTATCTGAATATTATGGACAGTGGATGGGAGCAAAGCGAGGTTCGTGTTTGGCTCTTCTGTTGGCATTTTCTGAGCCCAGATGCTCCTGCTGCTCGATACGTCGGCTGAAGAATCCTCTGAACTACAGCTGATCATGTCGAGGAAACATCTGGAGAACTGAGAGAAGCACAATGAGGGGAGAAACTGTACAGACAGTAAAGATGGTACAACACAATTTACCTCTAGTAGGAAAAAAAAAACATTTCAAGACATGAACAATGATTGGGTTTAGTAAGATTTTAAATATAATCCAGGAGAAAATATGGTGGGAAGGTTGGGTTATAAAGCAAAATCCACCAAAACTTTGAATATAACAGAGCACTGTTCATTTGTTTGATGAAGAACAAGTTTCCAATAGAGATTCTCCTGTTGAACTGCTGTAGGAAATTCTTGAACCAAAATAAGTTAAAAGTATTTAAATATTATTTCCTCTAAGACCTCTGTTTAGTAGCTTGGTTTATTTATGATCCAAACTAACCCAGGTAAAGTTCTGTGTTTAACATTAACTCTACACCTTACCCCTCTCTACTGTAAACTACGGTGATGGCAGCACCATGCTGTGGAGCTGCTCAGAGTGGATGGAAATATTAATGTAGCTAAAAACAGAACAGAGCACCTAAACACAATTTCCACTGTGGAACATGGGAGTAGCGGCATTATACTGTGAGTATGCCAAAACCAATGTTCCAGTTTCCTTCCATTAAGTTTTATAGCCAAATGTATGGAGCTAAATTGGGGCCATAAAGCTAGTTCTAAAGAAAAATAATCTGAAACTTAAAAAAACAAAGATTTTGAATCTCAGAAGCAGCTTTGAACACTTTTTACAGTTCAGACTTTTTTCTCAGTTTCAAACTCTTTCAATTTCAAAATAATTTTTCAGTTTCACATCTTATTTTTTCCAAATTTAAATACATTTTTCAGTTTCAAACTCAATTTCAAATTAATTTTTCAATTTCAAATGTTTTTTTTTCAATTTTAAATCTTACTTTTTTCTCTTAAATATTTTTTTCCATTTCAAACTTTTTTTCAGTTTCAAAATAATCTTTTAGTTTCAAATCTTTATTTTCAGTTTTAAAAGTTATTTTCCAGTTTCAGATCTTTTTTTTTAATTTGATTTTTTTGCTTCAAATCTTTTTGTTCAGTTTCAATTTCTTTTCTTTTTTTCTTTTGTGCAAACATTATGGCCCCAGTTTAGCTCCATACAAAGCACCCAACACTGGTAGTTGTGCTCGCCTACCTGGTTGTTGAGCAGCACACATATGACCGGATTGAGAACGGTGCTGGTCTTCGCCAGCAGGGCGGGAATCAAAGCGGCTGCAGGCGGCACCGCTCCTGGCCGTCCGAACGAGGCAAGCATCGCAACAACGCCGTATGGAGTCCAGCACAGCAGGTAGCCTGTCACCATGGCGACCACCATCAGGAGGATCCGACCCTCGACCTGCGACTTGTTGAAGCCGGCCGCCTGGAGACACACGAGGCTGGTGAATTGAAGGAAAGGTCGACTCGTCACACAGAGGTTAAAGGTCAAGTTCTAAGCAGACCTGTCTCGTCACGCCTTTGATCGCCAGCAAGATCCGGCCGTAGCAGAAGAACATGAGCAGCAGAGGCAGGAGGAGGCAGAAGACGAACAAGCAGACGATGTAGGAGCGAGCCGTGACGGAGCGGCGCCGCCATTGGACCGAGCAGACGGTGCCGGGACCCTCCGGCCCGTAACTGCTAAGAGATGGGTATGTTAGGAACCAAAAAATAGATCTGAAAATCCATTAGACAGTTTTTTTTATTTGTATTTAGTTTAATCAAACATAATCTGTCTCTAAACCTGTCGCAATTACAAGTTTTGCTGGGCGATAAATTGCTATTACGATAAACCGTAATGTTGTTTTGATATAATGTCCAAGTCATGTGGTGTAAAGTGAGAACAGCTGGGTTAAAAACAGCGATGATACAGACCTACTCCAGCCCAGCAGTGGCGGTAAAGTCCAGGCCAGTGAGTAGAGCCAGGAAAACGCTACGGAGAGTCTGGCTCTGCGATAATGTGAGGAGCTGAGCTGGGAGCCGCTGAGCAGCATGGTGTACCGCTCAAAAGACAGCAGAGAGAGAGACACCAGAGAAACGACCCCTGGCAGGCAGACACACAGTGGAGAAATCCATTAGCAATATGAGAACAAAGCCACACAATAACAGGAAGTTGGGAAATTTGACTACTCTTCCACATTTTAATCAAAAATAGTAATTTAGATGAAAAATATTGCAATTTAAATATGTGGCGAACAGATAACAGAATCGCTCTTGGACAACTCAATAAATAGGCTAATCTTTATCCAGCCATTTTCAGTATGACATAAAAACATACTCTTTTTTCATACTGTGGCTTAAAAATTAAGTTAATTTGTTATATGTTGTCAAATTAATTAATTATGTTGCAGTGAATGGTCCTAAATTGACCATTCACTGCAATATATATATATTAAGTAATTTTCTAGTGCAAATATCTCAGTACACTTCAAAGTATTTTACAAGTATTTTTAATCAAAATGTAGGATTCAATAATTCCTTAATATTGATAAGAACTACTAATTATAAGTGACATAATCTACCTTTGGAACACTTTCTAATGAATAAGTGACTTAAATTTCTTGCTGAAATGTCCCTTTAAAGTTAGTTTTGTCCTGTTTAAAGTGTACTAAGATATTTGCAAAAGAAACTAGACCAAAAATATTGATAAGATTTTGTGTTTTTGCAGTGTAGGACGTTTCCAAAAAATAGTTAATTGTGCAGGTCATAGCTGTATGATCCCACAGGATGTAAAAACTTCCAGTTACCGAAGAGCGCGTTGGAGAAGCCGTACCACCGGCACCCGTAGGACCCGGTCAGCCACCTGCCGCGCACGCTGGCCGCGAAGCTGAGCGGAGTCCCGAAGAGGCAGACCAGCATGTCGCTGACGCTGATGTTGACCAGGAGCAGGTTGGCTGGAGTCCGCAGCCCGGGGTAGCGAGAGAAAACCAGGAGCAACAGGAAGTTGCCGAGGATGCCCAGGACCAGGATGAACCCGAGGGCAACGGCAACCGAGGTGTGAGCCGCCCGGCTGAGAGAGGAGTCCGACCCGGGTGGGTTCTGCTGCCCGCCGCTGAGGTTACTGTTCTGCTGCTGAGTGTGGATCATCATGGCACTTAAAAAGACTTAAACAGAAAAATAAACTGTATTCTCTAAAGAAAATTAACATATAATGGTGCTATTCAGCCGTAGCATAAAACACACTGAGCTGAAAAATGATGAGGATGAAGGGAGGGACAAAACTTCAGAGCTGCTGCCAGTCCTTACTGTCCCACTTTTTTATGCAATTTACTCAATTAATCCAATCCAACATTTATATAAATGTGTGCTAAAATCAACTCTATGCTAACAAGAAAGGGAATGAGGAAAAATAGTAGCTCTTTCTTTATCAAAAACATGTTTTTAATTGTTCTTGATGCAATATTGCACAGCAGATTGGAGACCTCAATAAATGAGCCAACTCGTCCATTATGCAAGTTTTGGCTGACTCATAGGGAAGGCCAAGAATGCTCACACCCATGAGCCAAGATGCTGAGGCATTTGACTAATAAATGATCACACTGCGCTTTTTGTCTCATGAAACTCTTTGCTAACTAGAGTAGATTAAATAAATACTTAAAGTTCCCTGAAATTAACCGTGTGTGTGCATGTTTTCCTTTTCTTCTGATAGTAAAAAATGTTTTTCAATGCACCTAAAATCTATTAAACAGTCATTATGTGAAAGCCAACCATGGTCCAGGAAGCAGTAAACGGGGCACCATTTTTCCACAGGAAAAAGGAAGAGTCTATTCATTCGACTGGACATGCAAATAAGAGATGCTTTTTACAGGTCCAGGTCCAAAGGAACAGAGCCTGCTAGTGAGCAAACCAAGAACCAGAATAATATAATATGGTGATGAAAAAAAAAGATAATTTGTATCTCCTATTAAAAAAGAAAAAATATTATAGAAATGTGGCTCACTTATTTTTTCTTTACTTGAGGATTGATCAAAAAATATTTGTCTCTAATTCAAAAATGTGAAGCTTTTCAGTGTGGTTACCTCCACTCAAGTTCATTTTCTTTAAAAATGGATCATCCCCTAATGGCTTTCAACCTAATAATAGCATCTCAAGTAATTAATGAAGGTGATGAACAGCTCACTGGGGAAAAAGGCTATTTTGGAGCTCTGCACCTTTTAGGAACTTAACATTAACCATGGGATAATATTCCAGATGCTGGATTCTTTATGTATTTCATTGGTCATAAAATATTTAATATACTTTCCTTTTTTGGTGGTTATTAACTTACAGAATAAATTGAAATTGGTGGCTGCATCTAAGAAAACAGGATTTGTGTTTTTCCTTTTTGTGGCATAGATAAATTATTTAGGGCACAATTGACAATTTACTATTTTATTATCTGGTGGTCATCCCCTGAAAGTAAAACAAGCAAAGTAGGATTAGGATTTCCTTTACACTATGTTTTCCTAAACTCCTGCACTCTAGTAATGTCAGAACAGTTCTTGGATATTCAAATTCAATAATATTTTATTGATCCCAAAGGGAAATTAAATGTTGTGACTCGTATTCAAATTCTTCAAAGAGTTATTGTAGATAGTAATGGCTGTTGGCAGGAAAGATCTCTTGCAGCAGTCTGTATTACAGTGAATATGAAGAAGCCTCTGACTGAAGACACATATAATGCAGGTCACTATCTTACTATTCAAAATATAAAAATTCTCTAAATTCTGGGGGAGGATAAAACTGTAGTGCAGTCCTGGAAAAAAGATTGTGAAATCATCCCTCAGTCATATTGACTGCAAATGGATAAAAACGATAAAAAGTACGCCCTAACACCCACCATTATTGCTCATATCAAAACCACTACTGCTTATTATAAACACAAAATTTGTGTAATTTGTAATTGCTTGGAGTAGAACATTCTCAAAATATAAAATAGACTTGAAGAAAAACAATAATATGACAATAACAACTGTTCTATTGTTATTGTCATAAATAA